AAAAAACTGTAAAAAATATACCCCAAAAATGAATAGGGAGTGGTGGGCTGTTTTTCTTCTTTATATCCCATCTCTATTTCCCAAACGTTCTCCAGTGGGCATAATTAAAGAGAAACAGCCTGTCCTTGTCCCAGCTGAGCAGCAGCGTCAGTAGCAGCTTGAGCCTGCCTGAGTGTTGTCAGGAACTGTGCTTGGCAGGTCTCACGCTCCAACCGCAGTCGGTCCTCACTAGAAGCCGACTAGGCAGGCATTTGGGTGGCATTTGATGGCATTCGGGTATGTCCACGTGACTCTATTAAGGGGCCCTGCAGTGGGCAGCTGAAAAAGCCAGAGCAACAAAGGAAGGAGCCATGTAAACAAGCCCAGAAGCCCATCTCAGGAGGTACGTACGGAGAGGGCACCCGGCACAGAGCAGCCCCTTGCTCTCTGCTGACAGCCCCCCGAGGGCACTGGCATCACAACAGGGGGGTGAGCAGAACCAAAGGTGAGGTGCTAAGAAATGAACTCAACCCATGTGGGGCACTCGCCTTGCGCAGCAATGGGAGCCAAGAGAGGCTGAAACGTGGATCCACCAGCAGGAAACAGTGGGCGAGGAGACACCCCCAGGGCCACAGCCACCTGCCAGGGCGGTGAGCGCTCAGGACCGTGAGCAGCGCCTGTGCCTGGGGCACTGCATCAGGAGGAAAGCGTGAGGAAGACAGTGAGGAGACAGGCGCATGCAGAGGGTGCTGAGGAAACCTGGTGCTCCTCACCCACACCGTGCAGCCCCAAGAGGCACCTGGCCCTGCCACACCGGACACAAAGGCCACACCAGACAAAGGCCACACCGGACACAAAGGCCATGCCACCCAAAACAAGAGACAGCACTGAGCAGCCTCCTCACCAGCCTGGTTGGGCCAGGCCTCAGCAGACAGGCCCACAACCCTGCATGTGCTCTGTGGCCCGCCTCCCGGCAGGGGGAGAAACAGCCTGGATGCACAGCCTTTCACCGACACAGCGGGGGGGGGGGGCACGCTATCGCTCTGCAGGCCCAACTCCCAGGCAATAATTTACTCTGGGTGCTTTTCTCTTTCATCTTCTTCTTTTTTTTTTTTTTTTTTAATAAAACACATTTTAATAGAAAAACAAATGACTGATGTTTTATACACTGCATTTTTTCTCTAGCAAATCTAGAGCAAGGGATCACTTCATATTTTCATAACAGTTCAGCGCTGCAGATTGAAACAACCGTTTAGAAAACAGCCGGACTTTCCTTCCCAGGACGGAACTCCACTCGCCGGCAGTCACGCCTTCTCAGACGTCGGCGCAGAGTCGAAGGCGGCGGATAAAACCCTGCAGATTGCTTGTGCTTGTTCCAGGCTGCTGCACTGATAAACCCACAGGCTGTATTCTTCACTGCGGGCATCCGTAGTCTTCAGGGCCAATAAGCTTTTCCCTGCCCCCAGACCATCATCATAACACACCATCCGGATGATTAAGTACAGAGCATGCCTATGTAACACATCGTATTGATCTGACGTCGACACTTTTATACCATACTTGGAAACTCCCATAATAAATTCTTCCTCCAGAGGAACAAAAGGCAACTTTCCATCTTGCTGGGCGACATCTATATAATGTATCAGGTCTAGTGGCCCTTCAAGGCTTTTGCCTTCAGAGAGTTTCAGTTTTTCAATGGCACCAACATATTTTATTCGAAATTCTGCACAGGTATCTGAATTATTGTTGCTTTGCCCTGAGCTCTTTGCCCTGAGAATCTGTGTCAAGGCTGGCCACCGTGCTGGATCGAGAAAGGCCCCCCAGGCTGGAGTCTACAGACTTGTTCTTAGTACTGATTTCACTACTTTGGGAACTGCTACTACTGTGTTGTTTTTTGCCTTTCCGAAACATTTTTCACTACAGCTTGATCCAGAGGAGCTCCCCTGCTCCGCTGCCTATCACGCGCCACCGCGGGGCCTGGGCTCCCGGCCCAGCGAGGGCGGGTCCCAGTCTCATCTTCTTTTTAAAAGAATTCTGGCCTGGCCAGTTTGGCTCACCAGTTAGAGCGTCGGCCCATGGACCGAAGGGTCTCGGGTTCAATTCCCAGTCAAGGGCACATACCTGGGCTGCAGGTTTGATCCCAGCCTTGGTCAGGGTCACGTGGGAGACAACCAATCGATGAGTCTCTCTCACATCTGTTTTTTTGTTTGTTTCTCCCCCCCCACACTCTATCTGAAAATCAATGGAAAAATATCCTCGGGTGAGGATTACCCTCTACACACACAAAAAGAATTCCGTTTCTGAGTGATAAAGGCAAACGCCAGAAGTGGTCCCTAGATTTCTGTTGCATCCCAGTAGCAGCTACAGTGACACCTGCCGGTTGAGAGGTGAACTGCAGGGCCTGTGGCAGAGGAAGGAACAGACCCCACACATGGAAACCCCAGGTAGGGGGCCGTTGCAAGTCTCCAGACACAGGCAGAGCTGCGGCACGGCAGCTTTCCACTTCAGGGAAGCCCCAGCTCTGAGTGTGGCACCTTTCAAGCGATGACTGCCTGGGACGATCTCCCTCACTTACGCCACAGCACCAAGTGCTGGGCTGCACGACTTGAGGTGCGCCCCGCCATGCTGACACGTGGAACTGGCCATCCCAACACCCACGTCAGCGCCCTTTCAAAACGTCCACCAATGTATTTAGCTGCCCCCAATGAAAGTCCACATTCTTCCCGAGTGTGGACGACCCAAGGCATGCTGGGGAAGTGAAACGGAAGCAGCTGCACCTTCCACCTTCCTCTTGTGTCTGACCCTCCAGGGAGAGGCTCTGGGCAAGGGGAGCCGCAGGGGCCTGCACGTCCCTGGGGCCAGGGCAGGACACGTCCACGTTTCAACCAGCCAGACGCGAGGACCGCGCTGCACACCTGAAGGTTTGGGAGAGCCCACCGAGGCCGTGTCTCGGAACAGAGAAAACCAGCCCAGAACTGAAGAGCTCCAGACACGCCCAGCAAGGCTCAACAACCAGCTTCTGAATGCTCAAATAACATAACTACCTGCAAGAACAAGACTCAACAGTCCTCAAAGGAAAAACCAAAATCCGGACGCAACAACAGGACATTCCCAACGTCCAGCATCCAACATAGTCACCAGATGTGTGAAGAGGCAGGAAAATGTGACCTGGAATCAGGGGACGATTCAGCCAACAGAAACTACCACGGAGGACGGTGATGATGAGACTTTGAATAGCTGTTTATAAACACATTAAACAATTTAGAGGAAAAGCACAATGTTAGACATTCAAGCCCTAAAGAAGAATCGAAGGGAATTTGCAGAAAATACGCCCCCTGCAGTACGCTGTGTGCTGATGAGTGAACTGAAGATCAGACACCGCAGGGAGGAGCCCACAGGGAGGAGACAAGGAAAGAAGCCTCAGTTGCTGAGGCTCAAAAGTCCCCCCCGCAGCAAGGGGCCCGCCAAGCGCAAGGAGCGGGTGGAGCCAAGGCATGGAGCATCACTCACTGGCCCTCAGACCCCCACTGAGCATCAGGACAATGGAACAGCATTGTTTTTCTTCAAATATGTTTTTATTTCAAGTATGTTTTAGAGAGCGAGAAAGGGAGAGGGAAAAAGAGAGAGAAACATCGATCAGCTGCCTCCCACACACACACTGTCAAATTCACGACCTGGGTAAGTGGCCTGATGGGGAATCAAATTGGTGACCCTTCGGTGCACAGGATGATGCCCAGCTAAGCCACACTGGCCAGGGCTGGAATGACATTCTTTAAAAATGGCTCAATTCAATAGATGGCGAAAACACCTTCAGCAATGAGGATCCAATAAAGCGGTTTTGGGGACAAACGCAAGCTGGGAGGTCCTCCCCCATATCCTGCACCTGGAGCTGCCAGACGAGCATCTGAAGGTGGAGGGACCCATCGGGTCCCTGCTCTGAGCCTGGGCCCCCTCCAAACCCTGAGCTCTATTTTGCCCCTTTCTCTACAGGCACCCACAGGCACGACCAGACCCCTCCTGCGTCACCCGGACTCGCCAGCCCAACTGCTGTTTGAGCCTTCACGCCTGCGAGGCCACCCTGTCTGGCTTCAGATAGGTTGCCCCCACTCTGTACTTCGTGTCACCGGAGCTGTTCACCGTGCGTCCTAACAAGGAACTACACTAAGAGACACCCCAGGACAGGCCAAGGGAGTGCACGCAGCAGGAGGAACAGAGGGATGTGGAAGCTGAAACAGACGAGGGGCTCTCCTCATCAGGACAGGGCAGGGACAGACCTAGCAGAGAGGGAGGAGTGGATTTCCCGAACATAGAGTACCAGGAGCACCGTGCCACGTTTCAGAGGCTGCCTGGCTCAGACACAGCGGGGGTCAGTGCCTCTCACCTGCCAGGGGCAGGAGGGTACCCGACAGCTCACAGACCAGGACTCAACCACAAAGAGCAGCTGGGACAGCACAGGGCTTGAGCGCTGCCCACGCACAGCCCTGAGGGAGGGGCTGCTGTCACCTGCACTCCACCAAGGAGACAGGGGGACACTGCTTGCCCAAGGCAGACCCGTCCCTCGGTGACCGTCTCCAAGGGGACTCTGGGTCCACAGCCCATTCTGATGGCCCTTCAGGTGCCACCAGGGCGAGGACCATGGCACACGAACCACATTGTCAGGGCGAGGACCGTGGTGCGTGTATCACACAGTCTGTCAGGGCGAGGACTGTGGCGCGCGTACCACACAGTCTGTCAGGGCGAGGACCGTGGTGCGTGTACCACAGTCTGTCAGGGAGGAGCGCCCTCAGGACAGCACGGAGCCCCAGACCCCAGGTCCAATGGGCTGTGTGACACCTGCCGGACCTCATCAGGGACCAGGGAGGAAGATGGAGCCATAGCCCCATCTGTGTGAGAAAGCACTTCACACAGTCTGCAAACACAAGGAGCGAAATAAATGCTGATACAGATCGCTGTCACCAAGTGAGAACCACTTCCACACGAACCCACCCACTAGTGTCCAGTGAGAAAGACGAAGATCTTACTTGGGAAGAGTCGGGGGTTCCCTCCGGGCCTGGGCAGCACCCATGTCGGAGCCCGGTGGCTCTGCGTCCTCCTGGGAGCCCAGGACCACCTCCGGCACAGCACCCTGCTGGCCTTGAGGCTCCACCGGCCCACCTGAGGCCGCGTCCGTGGTGGAGTTTACCTCCACCTCCAGAACTGGGGCAGGGACGGGCTCCTGCTCTGCCATTGTGGCCTCTGCCTCCTCCTTCTTCCTCATCTTCTCCTCCAGCTCCTTCCTCCTCTTCTCATCATCCTGACGAGCCATTCGGTCAAAGGTCTGGAACACCTGAAACCAAATGTGGTCCAGCAATGAGCTGTGGAAATGCAGCAACACCCAGTGTGAGGGCAAAGGAGCACCCACAGCACATTCCCACTGGGGGACGGGAACGTGCCTGGCCTCCACCTCGCTATGAAAGCCCCTCAGTGGGGGTGCCAGAACCCACAGAAGTGCAGCCTGACATGCCGCAGCTCACAGGAGCCCAGCTCTGTCTCAGGAGGTGCAGCCGACTGGCCAGCTACCCTCACTCACACCCACTCGGCCAGCAGTGCAGACATGCCCTGTCCACGGGCTGAGCGAGGTTGAGGCCCTGAAAACTCCCACTGCAGAGGGAAGGTGGGATCGAGCTGACCCTCAGTCCCCAGAACAGCAGCTGGTCACTGTGTGGGCTCGGGACAGCCCAGGAATTCACCTCACCCCCCCCCCAGCCCCACTTGCAACGGGCAAGGACACCAGGTCCACTGACGGCCCCTCTGAGAAGCCAGCGCTGTGGGGGGAACCGGCCTCTTTCCTGAGCAGTCACGCCCATGCAAGTGCGGCCAGGACAGACCCACACTGACAGCGGATAGGACAGGCTGTGGTCACACCCGCCATGCCATCGGAGAGAGGGGGAAACGGGCATTTCTGGTGGGAGAAATCTGAAGACGTTCCCTGGAAGGAGGGGACCTGAATCAGACCTTCAACAAAAGGCACATCTGCTCAGGAACCGCATCTCCACAGGGTGGGGTCACCAACAACAGCTCCTGCAGCTGCTGGAGGCAGAAGGCTGGAACACCCACCCTGGGACACGGGCAGCAGTCACACTCCCTGGGATTTACCCAGAGGAGCTGAAAACTGATGTCCACACAGAAACCTGCATATAGATGCTTATGGCAGCTTTACTCCTATTTGTCAAAACTTGGACCAACCAGACGTCCTTAGGTTGATGAAGGATAAAAAAGGTGGTCCCTCCAGACAATGGAGCGTTACTCTTCCACACTAAGAAGGAATGAGCTAAGAAGACAGAAGGAATCTTAAATGCACAGTCCGTGACAGAAGACATTCTGAAAGGCCACACGGCATCTGGTTCCAGCTCTATCACATTCTGGAAAAGACAGAACCACAGACAGTGAAAGGACAGTGGCTGCCAAAGGTTCGGGGGAGGGGTGAGCCGGTGGTGCACAGGGGTTTTCAGGGCAGTGACACGGCTCTGTGTGGTAACTGCAGTGGGGGCTACATGTCACTCTACATCCGTCCAAACTCCCAGATCGTGTGACACCCAGATGGACCCCAGTGCAGACTGTGGGCTCTGGGTGAGGAAGATGTGTCGATGCAGGTTCACTGACTGCAGCAAGTGCTGTGGCTCTGGTGGGGGTGATGATATTGGGGGAGGCTGGGCATGTGGGCACAGGGGTTATACGGGAAATCTCTGTACCTTCCACTCAGTTAGGCTATGAACCTAAACATACTCTAAAAACTGTCTTAATAAAATGAAAAGTAAGAAATTTTAGTAAGTGGATAAGAGTCAGTTTCCAAAGGGCTAGAAATGCAGACAGAACTAAAGAAGGTACTAACATACTGAACTACGTCAATGTCGCACAAACATTCTCTCAAAACCCCGCAGACGCTGAGAAAGGGTCGGCTCAGGCGCGAGGGGCCTGTCCCAGGTCCTGCCGGTGACAGAAGATAGGGACCGCGTCCCGGCCGGCAGCACATGGAAGATGCAGGCAAAGAAAAGCCACGCCCTGACACCTGGAGACACCAGACCCATTCCTGCTTCAGAGAGCCTGCCCCAACTCGTGCTCTCTGACACCCACACCGGACACCTGGACCCTTGGCCCAGGAGCCACTCATCCTCCTGATGCCCCAGATCTTCATGTCAACACCTCAAAAACAGCAACACCCGGGACCTCTCGCCGCACACGGCCTCTCAATCATTCTAGAACACAGGGCTGTGGGGCTGGAAGGGCCACCTGTGACCTCCAGCCAACCTTCTCACTGACAGAGAGGTGACTTGCCAAGACCTCCTGGCAGCTCAGTGAGGGACAGTTGAGCAGGCTCTCCTGACTCCGGGGCTTCTATGCAGGCTATTCAGACTCCAGAGCAAACACAGAGGATCAGCTGAAATGAACGGAGTGTCATGCTAAACTAGTTTTTCTTAAAATACATATGTATACTAAACTTCCCTAGAGTGGACTTCCCCAGGAGGGTCCTTCAAGCTGTGCGCCAGGCTGTGCAGGGCCTTAGAATTAGGAGGAAGCTCTGAGAAGTTTTACAACATCCCCGAATCATGAGGGAAGCTTTCGAGTTCCAGCCCTCCCATCCCAACCCTCTTTGCCTGTGTTCTGAAGAGACCCCAAGCACCCCACCTCAGCTGCAGTACCCACAGGAAGGGGTCTTCTGCCATAGAGGCAGCGGCAGACAAGCAGGGTGGGTCAGGAGGCCACCTAACGCCACTGGGCACCTTTTGTTACAGAGCGTAGCTGACAGTCAACACGTATTAACTGCAGGTGCACAGCACAGTGACCCGACCTTGTCTGCCTCATAAAGTGTTCACCGCGACTGTGGGGTGGCATCCCCGTCACCGTACAAAGTCACCGCGACACCAGTGGCTATTCCCTCTGGACATCCCATCCCAGGACTCATCTGCTCTAACTGGAAATCTGTGTTCAGCACCTCTACATCCCACGACAAAACTCCTGCCCGATGCTGAACTCGCCAAATGTCTCGTGGTTCAAGGACAGCTCCCAAGGATTCAACACAATCTCCCCAAACAATATTCCCAGGGAGCGTCTGCTCAGTGAAGGCTCCTGGGCAAGGCTGACAGGAGGAATCTCCAGAAAACACCGCCCCTCTCAACCATCTGCTGGAAACTGCCCTTGGCTGCAGTGAGACTCTCGGCCCTGACCACTTCCATTTCCCCTGCTCTACCACCTCTGCTTTTCCCACCCCCTCCCTGACTGTCCCCCAAAGGCTGCCTCCACCATCAGCTCTTCTCACCCTCAAACCACCCTAGTTCCTCCGTCTCCTGCAAGACCTGGTCCTACAATTTCAACAGTCTGCGAGCAGGTGTTTCTGTCTGCAATCTCAAATCCAACGTATCTACAACTAGGTCTGTTCCCCTAAACTCAAATGACAGGACAGTTAATGCGCTGTCGTTATTCCAATCGCTCAAGTTTGGAACCTTGGGTCATGTGATTCATCCATCCCCTCCCTCTGCCCTGCTCCCTTTCTACTTCGTTAAATGGGTCACCAACTCTTAACCTGGAAGGGTGCATGGAACACAGTAGGTGTTTTATATACTGATACCAGACAAATTAATTACCTGTCAGCTCATCTGTAAAACAAGGGCAAAGACCAATCTTTCAGGTTGTGTCAGAATTAAGTAAGATGATACCCTGCAATGTAAACCCCTCCCGTAATGACTGGTACATCCCAGGTGCTCAGTAGCTGCTCCCTTCTCTTTGCTGCAAGCTACCTTCACCCCAGCTAACAGTGTTCCCACCCTACTATGGAATGGATAAATAATGGAACTGAAAGAGCGGGAATCACAAAAATGATGAGTTTGGTGGAATCACCCAACCTTGCTGAACTGGCCCCCTCGCCAGCCACATCAAGTTCAACTGTATCTATTTCACAGGGACGTCCATGCAAGTACCACACTGCCATCGGGCCCACTAGAAACCCTCGGTCAGAAGGCACTCAGCCACTGAGGGGGTGGGGAAGGGCGGGAAGGGCCGAAAGTGCTGAAACTGAGACCCAGCTCCAGCCCCCATCAGACCCTTCTCCGGTCCTCCTCAAACACTGCAGATCCCACCAGCATTTCTGGCTTCTCAGATTCCTACAAACGGGCTGTGATTGGCTGAGTACCTGCTTTCAACCCCAGCAAGTCCCACCTCCCTATAAAACCTCTGATTTCCAACCCTATTCCCTTCCTTCCAACAGCTGTCACATAGCTCGCCTTGCACAGCTCTCTGTCTTGATATGTTTTATCTTCTCAACTCTAACAAGCGTCACAAGGTGGCCACGACATTAGTATCCACATCGCGGTGGGTGTCCAATGCCTGTGCCAGCCGGGAGTGCGGATCCCGGCTGCGCTGCCAGGTGCCCAGGCAACTTCGCGACTGAACATTGATGGGACCGCAAACAATAAACGTAACCTGGGACATACAGGCAGATGCTCAGACGGGCTGTCTCTGACCTACGAAGTCACATCTCAAACAAGGGAACCACACCCATCGGCCGCCAGGCTCCCCGCCACCTCCAGGCTGGCTCGGGGGCGGCAGGTCCGCGCTTCCACCCCACTGGCCACCGGGCACGGGCGACTTCTGACACCCAAGTGCGCCCGGTGTCACCCGGGCTGCCGAGGGCCAGGCCTGCTCCCAGAGGCAATTTGATCTGCGACCAGCGTCTCCGCTTACTCGCAGGCGCGGCCCGGGAGGCGAGTCCCCGCAAGCGCCAGAGGGAGAAACTGAGGCCGGGAGCGCGGGGAGGGCGGGCGGCGGGCCGGGGAAGGGGGAGGGGCCGGGGACGAGGCTCCCGCCGCCCGCCCTCCCCGGCCGCCCGGCGCGTCACCTGCAGCACCAGCGCCTGCGCGGCCCCGGGCGGGAAGCCCATCCGGTCGGACGGGCGGCGCAGCAGGCGGTAGAAGTCGGTCTTGCGGTAGAGGAAGCCGAAGAGCACGCGCAGGAAGTCCTGGACGTTGCCCACGTGCTGCAGGATGCCCAGCAGGGCCTGGTCGTACAGCTCGGCCGCCCCGGGCTCCATGGCGTCGCCGACCGGAGGGGAGCTCGCTCTCTGCAGGCGCGGCCCGGACGCCGGCCGAGCGCCACTTCCGGTGCGCCGCGCTAACGGCTCCGCCGCCGGCGGGTCCGCGCAACTTCGGTCCGCGCTCGTGCGGTTCCGCGGCCGTCAGCGCTGGGCGGCCTGGCCGCGGCCCCACCCTGCACCGTCGGCTCCCGGGCAGCCGGGCCGACGCGTGGACTCGGCCCCGAAGCGGCTCCTAGACTCCAGAGGGCGCGGGGCTGCGCGACTGAGGACGTCTAGCGGCCATGTTGGAAACGGGCGGAAGCGTGTGGGCGGCGGCGCGCGACGGGCCCGTCACGTGGTCTGTGCCCCGCGCCGCAGGGTGAGCGGAGACAGGTGTGCGCGTGCCCGTGCAGGGCGCAAGCACGCACGCGCGCGCACGTATGCCAAGAGCAACGTGAGTAAACAGACCGCGGCCCGGCACGGCAGGAACGTCCGGACGCAGGGATGGGCTCGCAGCAGCCGAACCACCCGCACTGATCTTAGGGCCTGCTGCTCGGAACACGGGTTCCTGGACCTGTCCTGCGCGATGTTAGTGAGGGACACCTGGCACGGTAGTGTCAGAGCCGCAGACGTCACAGCACCGGAGAAACGCAGGGGAAGCACGTGTTTGTTTGTTCAATCACTTATGAGATTGGGGATCCCAGCATGGAATGCAAAATGTGACAAACGATCTGATTGTGTCACACACGTCCGCAACAGCCTCACGGAAGGGACTCGCTGGAAATGAGAGCAGCCCTAGGGCCAAAGGGAAGAAGAACTGCACACAGACGTTTCATTCTCAGGTGTTCCCCACGGGTTATCCTGGTGGAAATGCAAGAGGGGTGGAGCCAGGCTTCCCACTCTTGGTGGGTGTTTGCAGATAAGAATGAAGGAGGAGCCTGGGCTAATCCCTGGGGTGGGTTTGCTCAGTATCCAAGGGGTGGCAACTGATGGAAGTGTTTACACGCATAGTCACGTGTACTTACACACACATTTCCTTGCTCTCCCAGCTGAGAGGGCCCAGGAGCATCAATGCCCGATGCCCGAGTAGCAACATTCACATCGAGCGCCTGGTTTCTGATCCCATGTGCAGAGAAGGAACCAGGACTCCTTAAGAAATAATCGATTGTAGGTCTAGGGACACTCTTAAGTGCAAGATAGTAAGGAAGCGCTCAAAGGGGGGAGGGGAGATTCACCACGATGGGCATATGCCAAAGGGACCTGGGAGCCGACTGGAAGAGCTTCCAGTGGCCAAAGCTAGAACAATTTGACAAATTAATAAAACAAATAAGGTAGCATTATATTATAACCTAAAGAGCAATCTGACAATACATGGGTCCATACTGACGCATGTACAAGCTGTGTATCCAGAACGCTGGAGCCCTGCCCTCCAGAAGCTGGAACGTGGTTCCCATCCCTAAGTGTGGGCTGTGCACAGGAACTTCCCCACAGAGAGCACAGCCTGGAAAAGGGAGGAAAGAGCATCTGTAGGGAGGAGACGCCTGACAGACACAACCTCAGTCGGGTGACCAACGTCACATCACAGTGATCAGCCGTGGTGACAGTCCATGCCCTTCATATGTGCTGAGAATGGCACCCCACCTCTGTGCTCTTCCTCCCCAAAATCCATCACCCCAGTCTTGTCAGGAAACACCAAATAAATCCCATTTGAAGGGCATTCTACAAAACAGGTGACCAGTCCTCCAAATTGTCAGGTCATCAAAAAGTCTGACAAACTGTCACGCCCACAGGAGCCTCACGAGACATGACACTGACATGTGGTGTCCTGAATAGGATCCTGGAACAGGAAAAGGACACAAGAAACAAACTGGGAAAATCTAAATAAAGTAAGGACTTTTGTTAGTAATTATCACTGACGGTTCATTAATTGTACAATGACACATGTACCACACTAATGCAATGGGCTGGCCATGGGGCATATAGGAACTGTGTCCTATCTTTGCAGTTTGTCCGTAAATCTAAGACTGTTTTTTTTCTTGGTACATGCCCCTAGCAGGAACCAAACCCAGGACTGTCTGGTCTGCAGGCTGATGCTCCAACCACTGAGCCAAACCGGCCAGGGCTCTAAGACTATTCTTTAAAAAAATTTTTTTAATGTATTTCAAAAGTGGTTATCACCCATAATGCTACCCCTCCCCCAAGAAAGCAAGAGGAGGTGTGTGTTGGAGTTGGTACAGGGGAGAAGCACACTTGTCCCTGCTGCTGGCCGTGTGCACAGGGCCGCTGGGGAGGCTCCTGCCTGCACCTTGAGAGGCCCTCGCGCATGTGAACAAGAAGTGTGCAAGAGTGTGCCCATCGCACAGGCCCATGGTTCCATGCCTGAAACCCCAAGGTGAGTTGAATTTCAGAATGTAGAACGTTTTTTGGAAAGGTAACTGGATCTTTACACTATGTTGGACATTAGATCCCATCAGGGCTGGGGCAGTAGCCTGTACCCAAACTCGCTAATGGGCTGACATACATCCTTTTCACCCCAAGCTGGGTGGAGGCTACGGAAGCCTGTTTATGAAGTGCATAAATAGACGCATCTTGTCCCGTCAGGTTTTGCCACCAAACTTACAAAGCTTTTGGGATTTTGGAATTCCAAGTAAGTGCGTATGGGCCTATAGTAGAAAAGTAATTGGTACCCTGGCCGGTGTGGTTCAGTTGGTTGGAATGTCACCCTGTATGCCAAAAGGTGGTGGGTTCAGTTCCCCGGTCAGGGCGCATATGCGAGGCAACCAATCGATGTTTCTCTCTCACATTGATGTGTCTCTCTCTCTCTCTCCCTCCCCGCCTCCCTCCCTCAAATCAATGGAAACATATCCTCGGGTGAGGATTAAAAAATAATAATAAGCCCTGGCCAGTTTGGCTCAGCAGTTAGAGAGTCAGCCTGTGGACCAGAGAGTCCTGGGTTCGGTTCCTGCTAAGGGCACATACCTTGGTTGCATTTTGTCCTTGGCCCCTGTTGGGGTTGTGGGGGTGGCAACCACTCAATGTGTCTCTCTCACATCGATGTTTCTCTCTCTCTTCCTCCCTCCCTCACACTCTATCTGAAGATAAAATGCAAAAACAAATGTCCTTAGATGAGGATTTAAAAATAATAATAATAATAATTGGGAATACTCTGCCTGCCTGCTAGCAGGGGAATTTATTTAAAAATATATACTGTGTTCATTCATATGATAGACTACTGTGTGACATGGGTACCTACATGGACATGTCTATTTTGCAAGTCCTCCCGTCACACAAGGTCACAGCGGAAGAATGGACAGGGCCTGGGGCCCACGCAGAGCAGGACATGCTGGAGGGAGGTCTTGATGCCATGTTGCTTGACACTCTGACCCACTGTGCAGGACCTTCCCGGAGCTGGTTGGTGCACTGGGTCCCTCCCTCCTCAAATGGACCTTGCTTCTCCAGCAGGTTTTCTGGGCATTGTCCCCTCACAGGCGGTTCCCAGAACGTGAGCAACTGCTGGCCCCTGCCCAGGGTCTCTGTGCCTCCCATTTTGACAGAAGTTGCCCCCTACTCCTGAGAAGCACTTCTAAGGAAGGACACATAATGACATGGCTACTTTATTGCAAGGGGGAGGGAAACACACAAACTAGTACCTCCCCCAATCACCCTCCCACACACATTATTTGTGTAATTTATAAAAAGCGTCTTAAGCCCTGGCCGGTTTGGCTCAGCGGTTAGAGCGTCGGCCTGCGGTCTGGAGAGACCCGGGTTCGGTTCCCGCTAAGGGCACGAGCCTCGGTTGCAGTTTGTCCCCGGCCCTGGTTGGTCGTGCGGGTGGCAGCCACTCGATGTGTCCCTTTCGCATCGATGTTTCTCTCTCTCTCTGTTCCTCTCTCTCCCTCCCACTCTGCCTGAACAAAAAATGGAAAAATGTCCTCGGGTGAGGATTAAAAAAAAACAACAAAAAAAACAAAAGCGTCTTAAACCCAGAGGATATGAGACATAAAACCCAATTTCTGCTCAACAGACAGTAAGTCTCCCATGTGCACAGACATTTATTAAGTTCCCTGTCGGCACCACATGGAGTAGGTGTGCTCCTCGGCTTATCCTTCCAGGAAGCTCAGGCTGGGCTGCTTTGAGCCCACGGCCCGCGCTCCAGGTGTAGGACAGACGGGAAAGGGCCTGCCTGTCCTGCAGACACACGGGCAGCCCTGACTAGCGGCAACAATAATAATCATTGGAGTTGGAGCCTAACGGAACGGCATTTTCTAGTGGGGTCAATCCATGACCAGAGTGTTTTCCAGAACGTTCTGCCCTCCCCCACCAGCAGGAAGCCCCTCCCTGGCCTTCTGCAGGGTGGGGTCCTGCTCTGTGTTCTCAAGGACACTGAAGTGTGTCAAAGACTTGCACCATAATGGGCCTTTTTGCCCCATAAAGGTGGAAGGGGGGTGGACATGGGCAGCTGTGCGAGAGTCTGTCTGGAACCAGTGTGCATCTGTTTCCGAACCCCAAGACCCAAGTCCCGGGAAGAAGGAGGCAAGATTATGCTGACCAAGGCTTGAATGACTTGGAAACCAGGGACCTGCTGCCCAGGTGGAGGGCCCATGGTGCACCTGGTGTCCAGAGGGAGTCCCCATGTGGGCACTCCCACAGGGACACCCTCTCCCAGGCCCTGAGGGGCAGACGGGTCAAGGTCCCCACGGGAGCCCTCGTGGACCCCGGAGCCCGGTTGGAGCTCTGCTCACTGGGATGGAGAGTCGCTGAGGCCACCCACACTCTTGTCAGAATGTTCAAAGCTGTGGTTGTCATGGGCGCCATTGTCCTGGCTTGCTGGGGAGGACGGCTTCGAACGGGAGGCCGAGCCGGCCGCGACCACCTCCTCTGCCCGCCTCTGCTCCAGCACCAGAGCTGTGTTGACATCAGGCCCTGCGGAGGGACAGACACAGAGGCACAGTCACTGCACCTGGACGGGCTCCCACGCAGCACCCGTGGCTCCTCCCCAGGCGTGGGAAGTGCCAGCAGGAGGCCAGGCCCTCACTCACCCAGGTAGCTGAGGATGATGGGCAAGAAGGCCAGGCCGTGCAGCAGGCCCAGCAGGGTGATGAGGAGGTTGAGACGGAAGAAGAAGATCTGGATGAGCTGGGCCTTGGCCAAGCCCAGAACGAGGATGCCGGGCAGGTTGGTCATGGCCACCCCAGCGAAAACCTAGGATCACAGGCCGGTGTCAGCCGGGCACGGAGCAGCCGGCAGAGGCTTCTGCAGCCGCCCACCCACTCACCGCACTGCCCATGGAGATGGTCGCCTCCTTGGCCCTCTCCAGCCGTGTGGGCTTGGTGCTGACCGCGAAGGAGCGTGTGATGTGGGACACGAACTCCACGGAGATGCCCACTGCCTGTGGGCAGAGGGGGGTGTCAGCCTCGAGAGGACTGGGGGGTCTCTGCCCAGGCCAGTGGGCAGACGGGGGTGTCAGCCTCGAGAGGACTGGGGGGTCTCTGCCCAGGCCAGTGGGCAGACGGGGGTGTCAGCCTCGAGAGGACTGGGGGGTCTCTGCCCAGGCCAGTGGGCAGACGGGGGTGTCAGCCTCGAGAGGACTGGGGGGGCGGGGTTTCTGCCCAGGCCAGTGGGCAGAATTTACACCCTAGACAGAATGGGGCATGCCCCATGATGCCCCGCGCCAGGCAGTCACCGTGACCAGGTTGATGAGGGACACAGCGTTGTAGCTGATGCCCCACAGGGCCATGAAGCCCACAGTGTCCACCAGGATCATGACGATGGAGAAGAGGTTGAGGAGGCCAGAGCGGAGGTCCATGCCCAGCAGGAGGCAGCAGACAGCAAAGGTGGGCAACAGGCAGAGGCCGAGCATGAAGAGCCCCTCAGGTACCACCGTCAGGTACTGCTCGTAGAACACGTTGGTGATCCTGCAGGTGGGGACACTGTCACACACGGTGCCTGGCCTCCCAGGCCCACGTCAGGAGGAGGGCGCAGCTCATCAAGGGCGTGAGCCGTCCTCCCCTGGCCCCCCTGCAGCCCACAGCCCAGGCCTCACGTGTAGGGGAAAACCTCGAAGGCCGGGTCGGTGCCGGGCACCTTCCGAAGGTCGGCAGTGATGTTGGCCGCCAGTGCCCGCGTTGCCCGCAGAGCCTCCGTGTAGTCCTGCGAGTTCTTCAGGGGCTTGTGGTAGGCCATGAAGCGTGAGGCTGGCGCCAGCCGGGGAACAGAAAGGGAAGGTCAGAGCCGGCTCCAGGCACCCTCAGGACCCCAGTGGACCTGGGCTCAGGGCTCTGCGGCCACAGTTTTGGGATTCATGATAAACTTTGGGCAAAGGGCCTGCAGCTGGGTTTGGACCAGCCCTGACTCTGCCGGACGGAGCCACAGGGGTCTCCCATGGACCCAAGCGCTGCTCTGAAGGTTGGGGTGGGGAGGCAGAAGCAGGGCAGATGGGCAAAGTCTGAGGACAAGGAGCCGAGTAACTGACAACCTCCAAAAAGGTGGCTGGAAGCCCCCAGGAAGGAAGAAGGAGAGAAGATGCCAGACTGAGGCTGTTCCCTGGGGCTCGTGGGTCCTGGAGCCATTGGCTGGCATCTTCCCCACCACGCGAGGCTGCACTTACCTAGAACCTGGCCGTCGGGGCCCAAATCCACCGAGGTGCTGTATGCTGCCAGGCCGCTGGGGGTGGGCAGAGGAAAGGCTCGGCCAGGGACCAGGCCACCCCCAGGCCCCTCCACCAGCCTCCCACCTCTGTGTGCCCCCCACTCCCGTCCTCCCCAGAGCCACACCCAGGCCTACCCTTTGGGACATTTGATGTTGGGGGGGTCGTTGAGGAACCAGGGAAGGTACTTGTGGAACTGTTCCGCCGAGGGCCTCACAGGGCCGAAGGTGAAGCCCACGCAGTTCTTCAGGCAGGCCAGCGAGTCTGCAAACAGAGCGGGGCTACAGGCCGCGGCACCCAGGCCTGGCCCCCGCTCGGCCCCTCCCGCCACTCTGTGCCCCTCACTTCCAGGCACGGGCCCGTGTGAGCAGCAGGCACGCGCCCGTGTGCCCGAGGGCATCTGTGTTTCTCTCTAACTGTGGGGAGTTGTCTGCATCACAGGAACAGCTGACTCCTACGAACAGTTGAGGAAGGAAAGCCAGGGGCAGAGAAACAGCCCACAGCCTACGGGGCCTCCCCAGTCCAAGGGCCTTGGGCACCTTGGCTCACTCCCCACTCCTGCCTCGTGAGAGCCAGCATGCCCCCCAGAGCATGGGCACAACTCAGGACAGACACAGTGTGTGAGTCCCCAGGGTGCAGCTGGCATCCACCCATTTGGGCTTGGTTACCCACATGTGTGTTCTGAGCCTGTGCCCTGCCCCAAATGACCCTGTCGGAGGGTGTGAGGGGCTAAGGGAGCCTCGCCAGTTCTCTCCTTTTGTTTGCCTCAGTTTCCCTAAGCAGAGGCCTCTCACTCACTGACGGTTGAGGGGCAGAACTCATCCTTGTTGGGGCCAGAGATATAGATGCGGCAGCAAGAGGACGGCGTCAGCCAGTCGATGAAGTCATCCACCCAGGAGGAGGCCGGGATGGCCAAGTAAGACCTGGGGTGGGAGCAGGAGGTCAGGAGAGCAAGTGCTGGGGCCCTCTGGGGCGCACTGGGCCTTCCCCAGCGTGTGGCAGCAGGGTGGGGTCAGACGGCAGGAAGGGAGCCGGAGGGGGTGGGACACAGACAGGGGCGCAGGCACGGGCAGGGACACTCACTGCTCAGGGAACTCAGTGGCATACTGGATCTTCTGGGTTAAAGAGAAGCTTTCACAACCAGCGCTGGAGCAGATGTTGTTCATGCCCACCTTGCTGGAGAAGTTGTAGCCCCCAGTGGTGACAAAGTAGACTGGGGCCCCCACCTCAAAGTAGCGGTTCAGAAAGAGGAAATAGTCGAGCAGGTACGAGTCCTGGAAGGGAGGACAGTCAGTGAGGTCAGACCAGATACATCCTGGGGGCTCACTCCAGCTCACAATCACAGGGTATAGCCAGAGAGGGACGCTTACAGAAGTACACTCACAGAAGTATTCTCACAGAGTTACACTCCCAGAGGTACGCTCACAGAAATATTCTCACGGAGTTATTCTCACAGAGGTCCACTCCCAGAGGTATGCTCACAGAAGTATTCGCACAGAGGTACGCTCACAGAAGTATTCGCACAGAGGTACACTCACAGAAGTATTCTCACAGAGGTATTCTCACAGAGGTACACTCCCAGAGGTATGCTCACAGAAGTATTCGAACAGAGGTACACTCACAGAGGTATTCTCACAGAGGTACACTCACAGAAGTATTCTCACAGAGGTACACTCACAGAGGTACGCTCACAGAAATATTCTCACAGAGGTATTCTCACAGAGGTACGCTCCCAGAGGTATTCTCACAGAGGTACGCTCCCAGAGGTACGCTCACAGAGGTACGCTCACAGAGGTATTCTCACAGAGGTACGCTCCCAGAGGTATTCTCACAGAGGTACGCTCCCAGAGGTATTCTCACAGAGGTACACTCCCAGAGGTACTCTCACAGAGGTACGCTCCCAGAGGTATTCTCACAGAGGTACGCTCCCAGAGGTATGCTCCCAGAGGTATTTTCACAGAGGTACGCTCACAGAGGTATTCTCACAGAGGTACGCTCACGGAGGTATTCTCATAGAGGTACACTCCTGGAGGTATTCTCACAGAGTTACACTCCCAGAGGTACACTCACAGAAGTATTCTCACAGAAGCACACTCACAGAGGTACACGCTAAAAGAAGTATATGCCAAGGAACATTGCAATCCAGCTGTTGAAAGACAGAGAATTCTGAAAGCAATAAGACAGAAGTGACTCATCACATAAAAAGATCCCCAATAAGATTACAAACATCTCATCAGAAACCTTGGAAGCCACCAGGCAGCGGGTTTGCATATTCAAAGTGCTGAAGGAAAAAGAACTGTCAGTCAAGAATCCTATTTCTGGAAAAACTGTTCTTCAAGAATGAGAGGCGGTTACACCTACTGAGAAATAACTCTTGTGCAAAAAAGATGTATTTTCAGCCTGGCTGGTGTGGCTCAGTGGTTGGGCGTCGACCCATGCAACAAGAGGTCGCCAGTTTGATTCCCGGTCAGGGCACATGTCTGGGTTGTGGGCCAAATCCCCAGTGGGGGCATGCAGGAGGCGGCCAATCGATGTTCTCTCTCTCCAAAAATCAATAAAGAAAAAAAAAAAGATTTATTTTCATTGAAATGGAAAATACTGTTTTGCTGTCTGTAATAGAAGGTTTGAAGAGAAGTTTCCAAACAACACAATCAGGGAGTAAAACAATTTTGACTATGATGAAGGCGGGGCAGATTAAGACATCCCCAGACCAACAGCAACTGGAGGAGTCTGTTGCCACAGACCTGCCCTGCACGGGTGCTAAAGGGAGTCCTTCAGGTGGAACGGAAAGGACACTAGAGTAGAACTCACAGCCATAGAAAGAAATAAAAATCCCTGGTAAAGGTAAATACAGTCGACCCTGAACATGCAGGGATTAGGGCCACCGATCCCCAGCGTTGAAAATCCCATTATAACTTTTGACTCCTCAAAAACTTAACTACTAATAGACTACTGTGGACCAGAAGCCTGATCAATAATGTAATAGTGAATTAACACATATCTTGTAGGTTGTATGTATTATATACTGTATTCTTATAATAAAGTAAGTGAGAGAAAATAAACTACTATTAAGAAAACCATAAGGAAGGGAAAATGCAGTTACAGTTCTGGACTGTATTTATTGTCCCCATAAGTTTGCCTTGCATGTTTACAAGACAAATCATGAATCAGTACCTATGCCAATATTGTCTTATCAGATACAATACATTGTAGATGTTATAATATTACTGATGAAAAGACAATGCGAGCCCTGGCCAGTTTGGCTCAGCGGTTAGAGCATCAGCCTGTGGTCCAGAGAGTCCCAGGTTCGGTCCCCACGAAGGGCATGTACCTCGGTCACAGTTTGTCCCCGGCCCTGGTTGGGTTGTGCGGGTGGCGACCACTCGATGTGTCCCTTTCATGTCGATGTTTTTCTTTCTCTCTCCCTCCCCCTCTATCTGAACAAAAAATGGAAAAATGTCCTCGGGTGAGGATGAAAAGACAATGTGGGAAAGAAATTCCTATTTATTTACAGGTTAACAATTTGTGCACTGACAACAGTAACGACATGCTCTCTGGCAGCTGAGTCTAATTGTTATGATTGCTTCACAGAAGCCTGCCTTGTACACCAATCAATGAATTGTTGCAAAATGTTTAGGCATACAGTATCACGGTCATATCCGTAATACAATATTGGAAACATTGCTACATTTTTTAAAAAACACTTACCTGTGATAATAGGCTGATAGTTTCTCCAAGTATGAGAGAGAGAGACATTCTGTACGGTAATATGGTTCTTTGAAAGCCGATTTGTAAAATAGTAAAAAAACTAACCTATTACTGATGTACATTAATATCATTCACCTTGTGCCCACGTGTGGGTGGACTACCCACTTGCAAACATGTCAGCAGGGGATGTGCAGGGGATGGGTCCTGAGGCAATGGTGACCAGACAGGAGACTCCTATACGGTTTTTAGATTTCCCCACAAAAAACTCTCGCATACATCCATAGCCGACCAACTGTCCTGCAGCATGATGACCTCTGCATTAAGTGGAAGGTGGTCGTCATGAGGGTCTTCATGCTGAGGAGGTCGAGGAGGCGGAGGGCATGCCCTCGGAGTCTGACCTTTTCACGGTTCCATTTCTCTGAAGTTGTTTCTGTCAGTGCCACCTGTCCCACCGTGTGTCAGAGAAGGGTCCCTGTCGTCCAGGAAGTCAGGGCGGTCCTGAGTGACCCGCAGGCTTCTGCTTTCCTGCTGTGCTCACCTCCGCCCGGTCACTTTCTGTGAGCTCCCCTAGTGTGGTCTGTGGGCTCTCGGATTTCTCCGTGCTCCACAGCTTGGGGCCTGTCACCCCACCCCCCTTGCTGGCTGAGTCCAGCCTCCAGCGTGGTTTCCTTGATCAGCGTGCTGCCAACCTGCGAGCCGAGCACAGCGAAGTGCTCTCCAGCAGGAGTTCACTGTTCAGGCCGGGGGCTCTCCTGGCCTTTTCTCTAATAAGGGCACCCCTCCCGTGGTGTGCTCCACCCAGACGTAAGGATGCCCTCTCTGTTGGGGTTCTCTTCCCCATCTCCTTTCCATAGAGACCGAGTGTGATGAGCCCTGAACCAGAGGCTGAATTAGGGATGTTGTGTTCAGGGTTGGAAGGACCATGTTGATGCCTGTTGAACTCATGGGGTCCTGGGTGGCCAGGGACATTGTCCAATATCAAAATAGCTGTAAAGGCAGTGCCTCACTGGCCAGATACGTCCTGACCTCGGGGACAAAGCTTCCACGGAACCCATCCAGAAACAGGCTCCTGTTGCCCAGAACCTGTGGAACCGGAGCTGACAGCTGGTCTGACCAGTCCTTCGAGGCTCAGGACTAGTGTCGCAGAGGGGCCGTTCTGAGCATCGTACACCCGACTGCATTTGCACAGAGCAGCCAAAAGCCCGTCCCTTCCACCTTCGATCCTGGCACTTGCTTCTGTTCCTTACTAACACATGTCTTTTGTGACGTTTTCTTCCAGAACAGGGCACTTCCATCTGTAGCACAGATCTGCTCAGGCAGACATCCTGTCTCCTCGGTGAGTCTCTTAGGGGCATCTGGGAACTGTCTGCTGCCTCTGGGTCGGCAGAAACGGCTTCTGTTATCTTGACATTTTTTTAGATCAAACCTCTTTCTCAAATATTCCAGCCATCCTTTACTGGAATCAAACTCTCCAGCCTTAGATCCTTCACCTTCCTTGCGTTTTGTTGTATAATGGCTTTGCTCGTCCTAGAATCCATGGAGTTGATAGGTAACCTTTCTTACGGCAGCCCTGCACCCACATAACAGCTGTTTTCATGCCCGGCTGGTGTGGCTCAGTGGATGAGCGTCGGCCCATGGACTGAGAGTTCGTGGCTCAATTCTCGGTCAGGGTGCATGCCGGGTGTGGGCTCCATCCCCGGTGGGGGGGGTGCAGGAGGCGGCTGATAATGTTTGTCTCTCACATCCATGTTTCTATCTCTCTCCCCCTCTACAAAATTCAATAAAAACATATTTAAAAAGAAAATAAAAACTGCATTTTCGCCCTGGCCGGTTTGGCTCAGCGGTTAGAGCGTCGGCCTGCGGTCCGGAGAGACCCGGGTTCGGTTCCTGCTAAGGGCACGTACCTCAGTTGCAGTTTGTCCCCGGCCCTGGTTGGTCGTGCGGGTGGCAGCCACTCGATGTGTCCCTTCACGTTGATGTTTCTCTCTCTCTCTCCCTTCCTCTCTCTCCCTCCCGCTCTATCTGTACAAAAAAATTGGAAAAATATCCTCGGGTGAGGAAAAAATTAAAAAAATAAAAAGCACCAACAGGCCCTGAGTTATTTCTAAAAAAAACAAAAAACTGCATTTTCAATACCAGATGAAAAGGTATTTCACAAAAAGTACAAGGTTTCCGCACCTGCTGGTGTAGCTGCAACAACGGCTTTGCAAATCTTTTCTTTGTTTACAATGGTCCTTACTCTGGACTCATTTGTATGTTGAAGTGGTGGTCAACTACAGCTGCAGACCTCAGGGGCCGAACCAATGTAGAAACAGGTCCTCGTTGTCAACCACAGGTACATACCAAGCACTTTGGCTATTTCTTCGGATGCTTGACTTTTCTCTGCTTTTTGAGAGCACTTGCAGCATCCCTGGTGTGATTCAGAGTTTAAAGTATTATACTGAACACAATGGAAGATGCACGAGAACCAGGAGAAACCGCTTCCTACCGCGATGCACAGTTTACGGAGAGACAAGCTCTCATGCAGAGATGAGCAGCATCACACGCGTCGTAAGTGGACACAGTGACACTTGAGCTCACGGCAACAGCCACGGGAGGAGATCATGTGACTGTGAGGGCAGAGCACACGTACACGCCACAGCTGGTTTGATGTGTGCTGACTTAATACTGCACCCTCCTGTCTGTTGGCATTTCTGTACCTGCAGATGGCACCATGGACCGTCTGCGAGTGTTTGTGTGCGTGAGATCTGATAAAGTTTACCTTTGTAGAACAGACTTGTGTATGTTCTATGGCAGTAGATGATAAAATAGACTGGTATCTACATATATACTATGCATTCATTACATATCCAACCTTTTCTTTTTCTTTTTTTCCCAACATTTTTGGGAGACGCCGTTCCTCTGCAAGTTTTTTCAAACTGTCATAAATCTCCGAAAGTTTTTCTGGTATACTTATTGAAAAAATGTACATGTGAAGGGACACATGCTGCTCTCACCTATGTTGTTCGAGAGCCAACTGTACACGGCAATGATAAATCCTGGTACTGCAGCCGTCTGGCCTGCAACTCCGCTGTTAGGTCTGTATATGGCTTAGGAGACTACTGCGTGCAGTCACTAGCCTATGTTTGGGGCGCACAATAGGTAAGGGTGTAATTCTGAGACCTCAGTAGCTGACAAGTGGAGACAGCGCTGTCAGGGAGCAGAGTCGTATGTCACTGGAGTTAGGCTGCTACCCATTTAAATGAGAGTGTTAGGGCTTCAGGATGTTCAGTGGAACGCCCATGGTAACAACAAAGAAAACGGCCATAGAATACACACCGAAGGGAATGAGAGGGGACTTTCAAAGTTTCCTGGATCAAACTAAACACAGGCCCTGAGCAGGTAGCTCAGGGTTAGAGCATCGTCTCGATACGTGAAGGTGCAAGTTCGACCCCCAGTCGAGGCACATACAAGAAACAACCAACGAATGCATCAGTAAGTGGAACGACAAATCGATGTCTCTGTCTGTCTGTCTGTCTGTCTCTCCCTAAAAGCAACCAATAAAAGAAACTCCGGGAAGTTTCTCAACATGATAAAGACCATATATGAAAGTCCCACCACTAATGTCACATTTAAAGGTGAGAAACGGAGAAGTATCTCCAGTGAGATCGGGCACAGAACAAGGGCGCCCGTGGCCGCCACTGCTGTTCCGCATGGTGCTGGGATGAAAGGCATGCAGACCGGGAAGGAAGAAGCACAGCCATCTGTTCATAGATCACATAACCACATATATGCATGAAACTAAAATTCCACTACAAACTGTTAGAACTCATAAGCACATTCAGCAAAGGTGCTGGATAGAAAATCAGCGGCATTCCTGTGCATGAATGACGAATAATGTGAACGGGAACCCAACCTGATTCAGAAATGGGCGGAAGACTTGGACAGACAGGTACTGGCCAGTGGAGTTGGCACATGCCCACCCGCCCGTGCAGGGCCATTGCCCAGAACCAAAAAAGATACATAGAAAGAAAGTCGACGTCATTAGTCATTAGCAAAATGCAAATAAAAACTATGATGAGCCCTGGCCGGTTTGGCTCAGTGGTTAGAGCATCGGCCTACAGTCCAGAGAGGCCTGGGTTTGGTTCCCGCTAAGGGCACGTACCCCGGTTACAGTTTGACCCCAGCCCTGGTTGGGTCGTGCAGGTGGCGACCACTCGATGTGTCCCTTTCACGTTGATGTTTCTCTCTCTCTCTCTCCCTCCCACTCTATCTGAACAAAAAATGTCCTAGGGTGAGGATAAAAAACAAAAAAAACAAAAAAAACTATAATGAGACACCACCTCGTACCAGTTAGGATGGCTACTATCAAAACACAGAAAACAATAAAGATTGACGGGTGTGGAGAAACTGGACCCCCTGCACTGTTGGTAGAAATGTAAATTGGTGTAACCACTATGGAGGTAGTATGGGGAATCCTCAAAAACTTAAAATAGAACTACCTATGATCCAGCAACCCCACTTCCGGGTATTTATCCAAAAGAATGGAAAGCAGGGTCCCAAAGGGACATCTGTGCACCTGTGTTCATAGCAGCATGAGTCACGACAGCTACAAGTGGAGAGAGCCCAGTGTCCATTGCTACATATGAATATTATTCCGCCTTAACAAGGAAGGACACTCTGACACCTGCTACAGCGTGGGTGGACCTTGAGGACATTCTGCCGAGTGAAATAAGCCGGTTACAAAAGGACAAACGTTGTATGAGGTCCCTAGAGGAGTCGAAACCAGAGACAAAGTAGAGGGGTGGTGCCAGGGGCTGGGGGAAGGGGGAGGGGAGTTAGTGGTTAATGAGGACAGAGTGTCAGACGTGCAGGACAAGGTCTCCCCCCAGGTCCGCACAGAAGCCCTGCACCCCTCCTGCCCCCCGCCCAGGCTGCCCACCCAGCTTCGCCCGGCAGACCCTCCCGCCTCCCAGAGGACGAGGCCCGGTGCACAGCTCACCTTGGGCAGAGCCAGCTCCTGGTCCAGCCCCACACTGATGTGGCACATGAAATAGAGACACACCCCGAACAGGGCCAGGAACAGCAGCAGCTGCGGAGGGAACCACAGGAGAGAGGGCTGCACGGGGGCTCCCGGCTTCCCGAGCTGGGTCTCATTGGCTGTTAGAATCATTCTGGAGCTGGACTTCGGTCCTGCCGCCACCCCCGCCCTGTGCTTCAGCCCCAGGACCTGGGAGTGCTCTGCACTGGCCGACGACTGGGAGACGAGGGTCAGGCTCAGCAGCCCTGCCCCGCCGGGGGGTGTGAGGACCCAGCTGCCCTGCCGCCCCACTCACCACGACCACACGGGTGACCCGGTGCAACAGGAAGGGAGCATAGACCTTGCGAAAGAACCGGAGCAGGAGCCCCTCGCTCTGGCCCTGCGGGGGCAGCTCCTGAGCACGAAGGCAGCAGCAGACGTCCAGCAAGGAGGCCTGTGGGAGGAGCCCCCCAAGTGGCACCAACGCAGGCCCTGGGGACCGCCACCCTCCCTCCTGTGTGCCAGCGTGACGTTTTCTACCTTCATAGCATCTCTGAGCTCTGTGCTGTCCCAGAAACGGCAGCTCCCTCCCAACCTCTGACTTAGCCTGTGTTTCGAGACCTCATGTACTTTAGGAAGCTCGATCATATTTCCCAAAATGACCGAAACAAAATCACTTTTCTGTGGGACACTGGGGACTACGTGGCCCTGCAGTGGCCCTGCCCAAGCCCCACGCTGAGCCTTCTCTACAAAGTGAAGCCGCCCACCCAGGCCGGAATCTGGCCCGCAGGCCCCTACCTCCTGCCTCCTGCTATCGAGGGCCACCAGGGCCACAAACGCCGACATCTGCAGCAGGAAGTCCAGGATCACCGCGAGGCCAGAGGTCAGCGCGAAGGTCCGCACGGCGGGCATGGGGGTCAGGGCGCCTGGGGGGCAGAGGCGGCTTTCAGGGCACGGGGTCTGCTCACACAGGTGCGGCAGGCGGGGGCTGCCGGCACCCCAGTCTTCGGGGCCTGGCAGCACCCGTGGGGCAGGGGCTTCCCAGGCTCACCCAGGAAGAAGCAGATGGCCTCGGAGATGCTGCAGAGGAGCATGCTGGGCCCCACGCTGCTCAGCGCCCGGCCAATGTGGGCCTCCCGCCGCTCCCCCGGCCTCCGCGGCAGCCTCTGGGGGGACAGCAAGGGGCAGGTCCAGGGCCAGGGCCAGCCAGGGGCACGTGCCCTCACTCCCTTCATCGCCCGGAGACCCGCTGAGCCTGAGGGGCAGGCCGGCCGGCCCGAGTCGGAGCAGCCCCCCGACACTGCTGTCCCAGCCTCCCCTTCTCACGTCTGGCCCATGTTTCGGGTGTCCGTGACATCCTTGCCCCAGTGACCACTGGGACCCTCACTGACAGCAGAGGCTAAATCAGCTCTGGCCCGTCCTTCCCTGGACACTACGTGGCAGCGGAAAGACTCGTGGTGGCCCTAACGTGGCAGGCGTGCAGAGGGCACGCGGGCGAGTGCGGGCGACAGGCAGGTACGAAGCACGCATGTGAGTGGAATACCCACACGGCGAGGCAGGACCTCAGGGCCAGGAAGGTGCGTCTGGGGTGGGGGTCAGGCCGCGGGACACCCGCCCACTCACCTGGTACTCGAGGACGAAGATGAAGATGTTGTCCGCCCCCACGGCCAGCACGAGGAAAGGCACCACTTGAAGGACCACCAGGGAGGAGGGGACGCCCAGGTAGGAGAAGAGGCCCATGGAGGCCATGACAGCTCCCAGCACCACGGCCACCCCGCCCAGGCCCAGGGTGACCTTGGCGTCCACCTGCAACGGGACTGGGTCAGCCTCCTGATGCAGGGCCGTGCTGAACGAGCCACGTCTTGCAAAATACTTTACATGCTAGGTTTGCATTTCACAGTGGAGTCTGCCAGGGAGCAGAAAACACACTCCCGAGAGGTGCCAGCCGGGGGGACCACTGTGACGTGTCCCTTTGCAGCCAGGTGCTCTGGTTGGAAGGTTCTAGGGCCCCCACCCCACATCCCCCCCCTCCTCACCAGCACACTGCGCCAGCTGGTGTAGCTGCCCAGGGCCAGGGAGATGTACAAGAAGATGACCAGGTAGCTGACAGCAAAGACAGGCAGGTCCTGGGCTGTGGTCCGGCTGATCTCGTCCTCCAGGGAGCGCTGTGGACACACCCCCAGCTGCTGACCCTCGACTGCTGTGGTCCCTGCAGGCGGCATTCCCACCACCAGTGCTTCCGAGTGGGCGACTCCCCCAGGTCACTCAGGAGGGGACGGGGGGGGGGGCGCGGGAACCCACGGCAAGCCACCTGGGTCTTCCGAAAGCCGTGGGCCTCCAAGCCCCTACCTCTGCCATGAACGTGACTTGGAACGTGCCGGCCATTCGCTGCTGAAAGGCTCGAACCTCCTCCAAGAAGCCCTGCTCCCAGAGCTTGGCCCCGGCCAGCCGGGGATCCCCGGGAGGGTAGTTGTTGAGGGAGAAGGTCAAGATCAGGGCATCTGCCTCAGAGTAGTCTTTCCCTGGGAGAAGAAGTGTTCAGCCACCCTCTGGCCACCCCCTGCCTCCCCTGCTCCAGCTTCTTCTTTTGGTACGTGCCCCTAGCAGGAACCGAACCCGGGACTCTCTGGTCCGCAGGCCAACGCTTCATTCAACCGCTGAGCCAAACCGGTCAGGGCTTTTTTATTTTTTATTTTTTCCAGCTTCTGTATCTGAGTCATTGTCTCACCCCTACCCCTTCTTCCCTCTCAGCCAAAGGCACAAAACCAGAGGCTCTGAGCAGGGCGGGGAGAGGACGGAGGAGGTGGTAGAAGGGGCAGGTCTGCAGCCCCTACGCCGCCCCCCAGCACGGCTGCCCCCACCCTGCCCCCCAGCACGGCTGCCCCACCATGTCCCCCAGCACGGCTGCCCCCACCCCGCCCCCAGCACGGCTGCCCCGGGGCAGCGAGAAGCCAGGCTCCACTCCCACCTCCTGTCCCATGCTAGCCCTTCTGGCCCCCCCAGGGCGACCCAGCTTACCTTTGTAGCCCCCCACGGCGAGGAAAGGAAAGACGGGGGCCCCGTAGTCGGCCATGCAGCTCAGGGCCAGGGCCGTGCCATCTTTGAAGGTGAGTGGGGCGCTGGAGGGAGAGGAAGGACCTTTCCAGGCACCCCTCTGGTCACCCTGCCCCACCCCAGGCCCCAGCACCACCACCTGACCCCGCGGTCAGAGCTCTGCCTCCCAGTAAAATCTCACACGGCCCAATGCAGTGTGGACGGGAGCTCCCCGGACCAGGGCTGCCCGAGCTCACCTCACCTCCCACCAGCCACACCCCCAGGCCCCATCACCACCTCACCACCAGACGGGGCAGGTGGGTGAGCCTCACGTATGGTCCCCTGGGGTGACCCAGACAGTCCCTGTCCCAACCACCCACATGGCCTCACGCTCCCCTCAGCTTCCTCCTCCCTCCAGACCCCAAGTGTATCTTTCTCTCCTGTGGACAGTCTGCCAACCCAGTGGCCTCATGCCAGTCCCACACCTTCAACAAAGTCCCCTCGGCAAGCGCAGGTACCAGAACTGAGCTCTGGGTAAGTGGGCCCCTGGGTCACCAGCTGTCCTGGGAGTATGGGTTGCTGTGTGACCTTGAGCAGTTCACCACACCCCTCTGAGCCTCAGTTTCCCTGGCTCTGAAATGGGGACAATCGGACCCCAGGAGTGGTTGTGCCCGTCCAGAATCTAAATGAAGCCAGCATGCCCTGGCTGGGTGGCCCAGTGGGTGGAGCACTGTCCCATACAACAACAGGTTGCCGGTTCAATTCCCGGTCAAGGCTGGTACAGGAGTCAACTGGTCGATATTCCTCTCTCTCTCTCTCCTTCACTAAATAAATAAATACATAAATACATACATACATACATATATACATACATACATACATATGTACATAAAATAAAGCCAGTGTAAAGGTGGAGACCCAGGTCTGAGCTTCCCCAACCTGCAGCTCTGAGGGCACCTGGGGTCCAGGACAGACCCTAGAAAGCAGCCCAAACGAGGCGCACCCTCTAAGCAGGGGGCGGAGGGTCTGCAAGGTTGGAACTGCTTTCAGGAGGACACTTTTTACCCTTCCCCTCTCGAGTGTGTAAAGTACCCACAGGCCACCGATGTGGCTGCCACACCACGTGGCAGCTCACGGTTAAGAAAAGACCACCTAAAACCCCAAAGACTCCATCAAAAATTCACTAGACTTCATAAATGAATTTGGCAAAGTAGCAGGATACAAAATTAACGTCAAGAAATCAATGATATTCTTATACACCAATGATGAACTCACAGAAAGAGAAACTAAAAAAACAATCCCTTTTACCATCGCAGCAAAAAAATTAAGATACCTAGGAATAAACTTAACCAAAGAAATAAAGGACCTATTCACAGAAAACTGCAGGTCATTGAAAAAAGAAATAGAGGAATATATAAAAAAGTGGAAGCACATACCTTGTTCATGGATTGGAAGAATCAACATCATTAAAATGTCCATACTACCCAAAGCAATCTATAGATTCAATGCAATCCCCATCAAAATAGCGACATACTTCACAGAACTAGAACAAATACTTCAAAAGTTCATATGGAACCAAAAAAGACACCCAAATAGCCACAGCAATCTTGAAAAAGAAGGATAAAGAAGGGATCACAATACCAGATATTAGGTTATACTACAAAGCAACTATAATCAAAACAGCCTGGTACTGGCACAAGAACAGGCATATAGACCAGTGGAACAGAACAGAGAACCCAGAAATGGACCCAAGGTAATATGCTCAATTAATATTTGACAAAGGAGGCAAGAGCGTACAGTAGAGTAAAGACAGTCTCTTTAATAAATGGTGTTGGGAAAGTTGGACAGCTACATGCAAAAAAAAATGAAACTACACCATCAACTTACACCACACACAAGAATAAACTCAAAATGGATAAAAGACTTAAATGCGACTCATAAATCTATAAAAATTCTAGAAGAAAATGTAGGCAACAAAATTTCAGACATCATACGCAGCAGAATTTTCACTGATACATCACCTAAGGAAACAGAAACAAAGGAGAAAATGAACACATGAGACTACATCAAACTCAAAAGCTTCTGCACAGCAAAAGATACAATCATCAAAATGGAAAGGCTACCCACTGTATGGGAGAGCATAATTGCCAATGATATATCAGATAAGGGGTTAATTTCCAATATATATAAAGTGCTCATACAACTCAACAAAAGGAAGACAAAGAACCTAATTTAAAAATGGGCAGAGGAACTAAACAGACACCTCTCCAAACAGGACATACAAATGGCCAAGAGACATGCTCAAGAAATGCTCAACATCACTAACCATCAGAGAGATGCAAATTAAAACAACAATGAGGTATCACCTCACACCTGTCAGAATGGCCGCCATCAACAAATCATCAAACAAGTGTTGGCGAGGGTGTGGAGAGAAGGGGACTCTAGTACACTGCTGGTGGGAATGCAGACTGGTGCAGCCACTATGGAAAACAATATGGTGTTACCTGAGAAAATTAAAAATTGAACTGCCATTTGACCCAGTGATCCCACTTTTAGGAATATACCCTAAGAAGCCTGAAACACCAATCAGAAAGAATATATGTACCCCCATGTTCATAGCAGCAGTATTTACAATAGCTAAGATCTGGAAACAACCCAAATGTCCATCAGTAGATGAATGGATAAAAAACTGTGGTACATATACACAATGGAGTATTATGCAGCTGTAAGAAAGAAAGATCTCTTATCCTTTGAGACGACATAGAGGGACCTGGAAAGTATTATCCTAAGTGAAACAAGCCAAACAGGGAAAGATCTCACTTATTTGTGGAATATATATGATCTCACTTATTTGTGGAATATAATGAACATAACAGTCTGAGCAATGGGGTAGTCCCAGAGACGTGGAAGTGGGGTACAGATCGACAATCTCCAGAAGAGGGGGTGGTGGGGGGAGATAAACCACAGAACTTATATGCATGTGTGCATGAACAATGGACATGGACAACAAAGGTGGGGACAGGGCAGGGAGGGAGGGGGCGGGGGAATCAGTGGGTGAAAAAGGGGAAACATCTGTAACAAAAATAAATTAATTAATTTAAATAAATAAATAAGGGGAAAAAAGAAAAGACCACTTGCTGGAAACGCACAACATGCAGAAAGGTCTCCCTGTGTGGGTGTGAGGCCAGGCACCCACCCTGCGCAGAGCCTGATGCTGGGACACAGCACCTGACACCCAAACCACAGACGCTCCCTGCTCTGTCGGGAGCCCTGCAGAATGGCCCAGTGGCCACGTGCGAATCTGCCCCAGCGAGTGAGAGCCCCACCGAGGGGCACTGCAGCCCCGAGACCGAGGCACAGAACCACGTGGGTCCCAGGAGGCCGTGTCACCCAGCGGCTGCCTGCAGCAGGCTCGGACTCACTTGGCGCAGTAGAGGAAGTGGTCCCTCCAGTCCACCCGGGAGGTCTGCCCCGTGAGCGTCTGGTTGGCGGTGAGCAGCAGGCGCGTGTGGTTGCTCTGGAAATACTGCAGGAGGCTATTGATGCAGCAGTCGGACAGGCTGGTGTTGTGCGGGTTGAGCGGGGCGTAGCAGAAGTCCCGCAAAGACACGTTGCGCTGCTCCTCGGGTGACCACACCTGCAGGTGCCGCAGCTTCTCCTGCAGCCCCAGCAGCTCCTGCAGCAGGTCAGTGTCCAGCACCCCGCTGAACTTCTTGGGCCCCAGCAGCAGGGAGTCATAGCTGTAGCTGGGCCGGGTAGGCGCCGTCAGGATCACCTGGTTGGTTCGGAAGAAGGGGCCAAAGTGCTGGTCATGGAATGTCTTCTCCCTCCGGGCCTGGCTGTTGGGGGCTGACCACAGCTCCACCGGGTCCGTGGTCAGTTTCATGAAGGCCAGCCCCCCGGCCAGGGCTGCCACCACAGCAGTGGACACCAGCAGGACTGTCAGCGGCCACGAGGCCACCCACGTGCCCCAGCCTTCAAAACACGAGCTGAGGAAGGTGTGCGTGGAGAGGCTGAGCTGGTTGGAGAGGCTGGGGCTGGCCTTGGGGTCCCACGCCCTGTCCCGGTCCCTGGAGGTCAGGCGCATCCTCACGAGGAAGGCAGTGAGCACGGCGAGGACCGAGCACAGGATGATGACGAGGGCCTGCCCGCCCGCCATGCGACCCAGGCGGAAGGTGGCGTCCAGGGCCTCTGGCTGAGCAATGGTCGGGCAAGACGCGGCACAGTCCTGGCAGGAGCAGGCGGTCGTGCCGCCCAGGGACTGGTTGCAGGGAGTGAGCTCTGCGTCTAGAGGCTGCATCACGCTCCCTGCAGCCTGGCTGGGATCCCACAGGTGGAAGGTGATGTCCAGTGGCGCCAGGCCATTCCCAGTGTCGCCCTGGTAATTGAGCCAGCGCTGGGCATTGCAGAGGGCGGAGCCGTAGACGCCGCACATGGCGCCCACGGCCAGAGTGGCCGCCGCGGGGATGCGCACCCGGCTGCAGGAGTCGTAGGTCTGCTCAGCGAAGCTGCGCTGGTAGAAGGCCTCGTAGGCCACCACGGCCGGGGGCTGGCCGTCCCCGCGCGCGGCCACACGCGTCACGTTGATGAAAGTGCTCTGGTTGGGGCTGCAGGTGTTGTGGCAGTGCAGGCTCACGAAGTTGTCCGAGCAGGCTGGGCAGCGGGTCAGCAGCGCCTTGGTGACCGCCAAGCTGTTCTCCAGGGACACCAGCTGCTTCCGGGAGCAGCAGGCGTAGGTGGTGTTGGGTCCGGTGTAGAGACGGGGGCAGACACGCCGCAGGAGGGCCAGGTGGTCGCCCGTGACGTGGCGGGCAGGCGTGTTGGACAGGCAGGACACATTGGACAGTGAAGCCAGGCTTCCCCCAGACAGCTCGGGGTTCTTCCCACACTCGTCGTAGAAGGCGCAGTAGCCAGGCTGGTGGACGGGCGTATACAGCTGGGCCCGGGCCTGTGGAGCAGAGAGCTCGCCGTGGGCCCAGCACCGCTCGGCCAGGGCAGCAGGAGGGCGTGGGGCCGGGATGGATGCAGGCCGGTGGGCAGTGGGAGCCGGGGAGCCCTGGGGGAGGGGTGCGGAGCAGCACTGGGGCCTCTGGGGGTGTCTGGGGCACAGCCAGGCCTCCATCCTGAGTGACCAGGTCACTGAGGGGAGGGAGGTGACCCGGAAGATACGCATTTAGCGAGGTCACAGTTCAGGGACCCATTCCAAGGGGTCGCGTGGATACAGGCGCTGAGTACATGGGCACTATCCCCATCACCATGGGCCACCAAGAGACCAGGGACCCTCTTGGAGGTTCTGTGCACAGCCTCCCTGCCTTTCCCTGCCAGGGCCCAGAGCCTTTGCCGGCCTCCCGGACCCGCAGGTGAGCAAGAGATATGACAGCCAGAGCCCAGACCTCCCGGCACCAGATGCCGATCCCCTCATGGGAGACTCGGAAGCCAGCCACCAGCCACCTCAGGCCAGGGTGTCCACAGCAGACCAGGGATGGGAGGCACCTGGCCACACCCAGTCCAGCTGCCCCCATCCAACCCTGTGTCCATCTAAACCTGTGACCTGGAGACTTGGGTAGTCCAGGAACCCCTCCACCCACACCCCTTCTTTGGGGTGCCAGGGATCCCCTGTATGTCCAAAGACTGGCCCCCTAGATGCAGGCCCTCCCTTACTATCACCAACAAGCCCCTGCCTAGGACCCCGGTGAGTGGCACCAGGGAGTGGACGCAGGCCCCAGACTCACCACCCGCAGCAGCAGGACCCAGAGCAGCCAGCCCCTCAGGCTGGCCTCTGCCATCCCAGCACCAGGCAGGGGTCAGACGGAAGTGAGGCCAGGCCTCGGGAAGGCAGGCACAGCTAAGGGCTGAGTCCAGGGGGCACTGCAAGGCAGCCTCCAGCCTGGCCTGACTGCATTGGGGACCAATGGGCTGAGCCCCACACCTCCCAGGACTTCCAGTTGGTTAATGATCCACCACTCACCCCTCCCAGCTTTGGCCCTGCTCTCTGAGATGCACTTGCATGACCCTGGAGGTGCAGGGTCTCCCCTCCACACACCTCCCAGAGACACCCAAGCCGAGTGCTCAGCCAGCGAGAGACCCTGCCACCGTCCCACAGAAGCCTCTGCTCCAGGAAATGCAGGCTGGGGGGCAGGGGGTGGGCTCAGCATGGCCTTGCCAACCCCCCCTCACCCACCACTCCCTGCCCCTCACCCACCACTCCCCACCCCCTCCATTCACCTCCCCTCCACCCCTCAGACTAGACACTAGACCCTGCCACCCCCAGCCCCCTCGGCAGCCACACCAGCTCCGGCTGGGACGCGCCCTTGCACTGTCATCCTAAGCAACTGCTGTTAATGAATATTAGCAGCCTGATAAGAGAGGGGACGTGTTAGGTGGTGTGATGCAGTGTCATCAGTCTCCTCTGGGCGGAGGGAAAGTTTGCTGGGCTCCACGGTGCACAGAGGCCCAGATGGGAGGCCTGAGGCCCTCTGCTCCCTCCCTCCTGCGGACTCCCTCCCTGGAGGGCCAGAGTGCACCCGGAACCCCAGGCAGTGGCCACACCCACCAGCTGCTCAGCACTCACCTTCTGCTCCCTCGATAGGCATCTCCCTATCGCCAGACCTTGGCCCCCATGCCAAGGCTGAGCTTATCTATGGAGACAGCTGGGGGGAACATCTCCCATGCAGCCATCTGCCGGGGCGAGCTGCAGGGAGTGACCTCCGACCTCCCCAGTCTGTGCCTCATGGACCCTGGCCCGACCCAGAGGGCATACCAAGCACTCTCTGGGAAGACAGGCGGGGGTGAGGGGCCAGAATGGCAGGGATGGCCGAGCAGACTCAGGCCACCCCTCAGCCCTGCGTCCGGAAGGAGCATCAGCCCAGGGACAGCCTGTGTGCAGTGACATCCATCCACACACCCAGACTGCCCTGTTCACCCTGGGTCTCTCTCCACCTCCTGGGTGTCTCCCCCAGCAGCAGACCTGAGACAGGGATCCATGGGGCGTGGCAGGAAGCCAACTAGGGGGCATTAAAGAGCAGACTCACCAGGGACCTTGGAAGACAGTGGGGGCATGTCCAGGAGTCCCCTCCAGGGAACAAAGATGCAGGCATTGGTTGAGGACATTGGCAGCTTCAGCCCCAAGCTCCTGTGGCCCTGGTGGAGCTGCTGGGGCCCCTGCCCACCCCATCAATCTGAGGGTGGTCTGGGGAAGCCCCTAGACACAGAGCCCAGCATGGGGCTTCGGGGTCCCCACTGGAACACCCCTGTGGCGCCTGCGGGGCTTGGAGAGCCAGATTCACGCCCAGAGCACAGCAGACAGGTACCCTCTCAAGTCCCACCTTCCCCCTGACTTTTACCCAAATGCTCAACGCCCTCCTTCACACCCTCATCAGCAGGCTTATCAGTGGACCCCGTCTCATAGACCAAGGATCTTCCACTCCGCTAGCCGATTTCCATATCTCCTTATATGAGTAAGTTTTCGTTGACGTCTTTGTGTCTAACGACATTTCCTCATTTTGCATTTGTTTCCTTAAACACAGATCCTAGAGATGAGATTAGCGTGTCAGAGTGGCACGTTTATGACCCTGAGAACACAGCTCAGCAGCGTGTCCTTGGGCAGTCCAGGCCGCAGGGGGAACTACTTACCAGATGCTTGCACACCAGCTTCTCAAGGGTTGAGATTCTTTCCAAGGCCACCGTCAATGCCCAAAGGTGCCCGGTCACCAGCCTCACCTGCACTGTGTGTTATGTTGACTGCCAGACTTTACAAATGTAATAGCTGGAAAAGGGTGCCTCCCTGAGAGGCCCTGGGAAGAAGCTGGCCCTGAACCCCGGTCACCAAGTGCAGCCGGTGGTGGGGAGGGCCCAGCACGGAGCCTCTGCCAATCAGGTTGGCTGGAGGCCCAGGGCAGCCGTGTGTGGACAGGTAGCAGATGCTGGAGCTTTGGGGCTGGCTGTGTGGCTCCTGGGGGCATCAGGCTGTGCAGTCCCGGCCGACATCAGGGCAAGGTGGCACTGCTTGGCCAGTCACTGGGCCCGGGCCATGGCACCTGGCTGGGTTGCGTGCAATGCTCGGCCCAGCATGGCGGAGCCTCCAGCTCCTGGGCTGAGCTGCCTTCAGGTTGAGATATGGAGTCTGATCACCTTAGTGGCACCTTGCTGACTCTGGCTCTCAGAACTGGACTCCGTGAGTGAAGGGCTGTGTCCACAGCCCAGGTGAGACACGCGGCTTCCTGCACGCCCAGCCTCCGTCGAGGCTCACAGTGGCCCACAATCTGGTTCCGACCCGTGTGAGGCCTTTTTTAATTTTTTTCTTAATAGACCTGATAGTCTTATGTTTACAGAAAAAACTGAGCGGAAAGTAGAAGAGTTTCCCATGCTCCTTCTTCCCCCACCAGTTTCCCTGTTGAAATATCTTGGCACACTTGTTATAATCGATGGGCCAATATTGACACATGACTAACCAGTTAATAGTTTACATTAGGGCCGCCTCGCTCGGTGTTGCACTCTCTCCAGGACTGACATGTACGAAATGACATGTATCCAGCCTTTAACATCACACAGAACAGTTTCTCTGCCCCCGAATTCCCTCTGCTCCACCTGTTCATCCCCTTGTCTCCCCAAACTCCTGATAAACCCTGTTCTCTGTGCATACGTTTTTGTGTGTGTGGTAAAACACACAAAACATCAAATTTACCATCTCGACCACTTTTAAGCATGCAGTTCTGTGGTATTAAATACAGTCACTGTCCAGCCAGTGTGGCTCAGTGGTTGAGCTTCAACATGTACACCAAGAGGTTGCCGGTTTGATTCCCGGTCAGGGCACATGCCCAGGTTGTGGGCCAGATCCCCAGTGGGGGGCGTGCAAGAGGCGGTCAATCGATGTTCTCTCTCATCGATGTTTCTCTCTCTCTCCCTCTCCCTTCCTCTCTCTCTAAAATCAATAAAGGAAAAAAAAAGAGTAATAAATAAATACAGACACACTATTGTGTGCCCATCAGCACCATTTATAACATAAGTTTACTCAACATATAAATAAGAAATTCTATATCTATTAAACCATAATGCTCCCCTCCCCCGACCCCTGGCACCCACTATTGTACGTTCTGTCTCTGTGATTCTGACCACCCTAGAAACCCCCATGTAAGTGAAATCACACAGTGTTTGTCCTTTTGAGGTTGGCTTATTTCATGCAGCATAGTTCTCAGGTCCATCCATGTTGTAGCATATCACAGAATCTCCTTCCTTCTGAAGCCGGAAGAATATCCCACGATATGTGTGGACCACGTTCTGTGCCTCCATTGGTCCAAGTTGTGGTCACTGTGCACTGTGCTGCTATGAGCACAGGAGTATATCCAGGAACAAATTGCACTTCTTCATGCTGTATCCTTGTACGACATGCTGCTGGATACAATTTGGTTGCAATTTGAGGATTTTTGCATCAATGTTCACAAGGGATACTGGTCTATAGTTTTATCTTGTGTCTTTGTCTGGCTTTGGTATTAGGGCAATGCTGGTCTCATAATGAGTCAGGAAGTGTTCCCTCCTATTCCATTTTTTGGAAGAGTTTAGAGTATTGGTGTTATTTCTCCTTTAAATGTTTGATAGACTTCACCAATGAAGCCATCTGGTCCAGAACTTTTCTTTGTTGGGAGATTTTTTTTTTTAATCCTTGCCTAAGGGTATTTTTCCATTTATCATCAGATGGAATGGGAGGAAAAGAGACAGAGGGAGAGAGAGAGAGACATTCATGTGAGAGAGACACACCAGTTGCCTCCCGCATCACCCAATCAGGGCCAGGGATGAACCGCAACCAAAGTGTATGCCCTTGACAGGAATCGAACTCAGGACTCGTTGGTCCAAGGCCCGACGCTCCAAATGCTGAGCCAAACCTGCCAGGGCAGTTGGGGGATTTTTTTAAAGTATTGTTTCAATTTCTTACCAGTGATGGGTTCATTCATCTATTCAGTCATGATTCAGTTTCCGTGAGTTTTCTGTCCCTAGGAATGTGTCCATCTCATCTGGGTTCTCCAATTTGTTGGTGTAACGACTGTGCGTATTATTCTCTTATAGGACTTTATTTCTGTGGAACTGCTAGTGATGTCCCCACTTTCACTTCTGATTCTGAGTCACCTTTCCCTTCGCCCATCTAGCTATGGGTATGTCAATTTTGTCGATCTTTTCAAAGATCCAACTTTTGGTTTCATTCGTTTTCTGTACTGTTTTTCTATTCTGTCGTTGATCTCTGCTCTTATCTTTGTGATCCCCTTCCTCCCGCGAGCTCTGGTTTGTTGACTTCATTTTTTCCTAGTTTCTTATGTTGTAAAGTTAGATTGTTGATTTGAAATCGTTCTTGTTTTTTTAAAATTTATTTTAGAGAGAGAGAAACACTGATCAGTTGCCTCCCTTGTGCGCCCCGACTGGGGATCAAACACACAACCCGGCCATGTGCCCTGATTGGTAATCAAACCAACACCTTTCAGGGTACAGGACAATGTTCCAACCAACTGAGCCACCCCAGCCAGGGCTTCTTTCTTGTTTGTTTGTTTTTTATCCTCACCCGAGGACATTTTTCCATATTTTGTTCAGGTAGAGTGGGAGGGAGAGAGAGAGAGAGAGAAACATCGACGTGAAAGGGACACATCGAGCGGCCACCACCCGCACAACCAACCAGGGCCAGAGACAAACTGCAACCGAGGTGCATGCCCTTAGCGGGAACCGAACCCGGGTCTCTCTGGACCACAGGCCGACGCTCTAACCGCTGAACCAAACCGGCCAGGGTTTGTTTAGTTTTTTAATGTAATAGTTATAGCTATAAATTTCCCTCTTAGCATGGATTTCACTGCGTCCCCTAAGTTTTGGTGTGCTGTGTTGTTTCCATTCACCTCTAGTATTTTCTAATTTTGCTGGGACTTGTTCTTTGAACCTTTGGTTGTATGAGTTTGGTAGGCAATTTCTGCAAGATTGTGAATTTTTCAGTTTTCCTTCTCTTAGTGACTAATAACTTCATCCACCCGTGGTCAGAGAATATACATCATATGATATCTATGTCTTTACTTTTATTTATTTTTGTTGTTATGTATATGTTATTTCATAATCATAAACTTAACTCTGCAATCCACCTAGACGTGGAAGGGTACAGAAAATAGGGGATCCAATGAACTGCGGCGAGAGTGTGAACATTATAGA